CCCACAAATGCTCAATTGGATTGAGATCTGGTGATTGTGGGGGCCACCTAATCAAGGCAAAGTCTCCCTCATGTTCTTGAAAGCACTCTTTCATAATACGAGCATCGTGGCATGGCTCATTGTCTTATTGGAAGAAGCCATCTCCATTGGGATACGCCATCATGATAGGATGAACTTGATCAGCAAAGATACTTAGGTATGTTGTACTATTCAGACGTTGTTCTGCACGAATTAAAGGGCCAAATCATGCCAAGAAAACATGCCCTAAACCATAACACTGCCCCCACCAGCTTGAAGGGTTGTGCACATGCATGTGGGGTGCATGCTTTCATGCCAAATTCTCACTCAGCCATCTTCATGATGCAACTGGAAACGTGATTCATCGGACCACATGACTTTTTTCCAATGCTCGACTGTCCAACCCTTGTGTTTCTGTATGAATTGGAGGAGTTTTATCTTGGTAACTGCAGACAGCAAAGGTGTTCAAACAGGCCTTCAGCTTCCATATCCCATATGATGCAGTGTATGCCTAATTTACCTATGAACGTCAGGTGGACATAATAATCTGGCCACTCATAATAATATATATCCCACATTCGAAGGCTGTTAAATCGCATTGTTTACCCATATCTTCAGAAAAAAAATCACTTCTGCCCTGACCAGTTTGGCTCAATGGATAGAGCATCGGCTTGCGGACTGAAAGGTTCCAGGTTTGATGATAAAATATATTTTTTTAAAAAAGAAAAAAAATCACTTCTACTATCGTGGTAAGCAACCTGCTTCCCTATTTATAATGGCCTGGCCCTGTAGCAACTTCAGCGTGAAATTATAGCTAATTTGCTGCAAACGTCAGGTGGTCATAATAATCTGGCCACTCAGTGTGTATGTGTGTGTGTGTGTGTGTGTGTGTATAATTATGTTATAGGTGAATCTAATCTACTTGACCTTTATTATATGTCTTCAAAATAAGATAAACTAAAAAAGAAGTAAAAATATGATTGCTTCACCATCCATCCTATGTAAAGGGTTCTTTTTTATGCAGTGAGTGAAATTGGATTTGTAAACCTACTCTTTCTACAGTTATCCTGTGTAGTATCTTTTTACTCTAGAATTTAAAGATTTATATATAATATGTTTATAATATATTGATTATATTATATTATATTACATTATATTATATTATACATTATACCATACCATACCATACTAGGGGCCCAGTGCGCGAATTCGTGCACCTTGAAAGGAACTGTGAAGTGGGCACAGGGGTGGGTCTCAGCCCATCCTCTGCACATCCGCCCAGCCCTTCCAACCACAGTCCTCGATCCCCTGTCTGCTGGCAGCCCTGCTCTCGCCACCGCTGCTCCCATGTGCTGATGGTGCCAGCCCTGCTCGCACCCGCTGATGGTGCAGAGTGATTGGGGCTGGCACCAGCAGCGGGTGCAAGCGGGGCCAGCGCCATCAGTGTGTGGGAGCAGTGGCTGCTGCCCCATCGCCCCTCAGATGCAGGGGGAGGTGGAGAAGTCCTCAGGGGCAATCAGGGTCGGCAGCCGCCACTCATACCCACTGATGGCACTGAGTGATCAGGACTGGCACCGGGCACCGGCAGCAAGTGCGAGCGGTGGCTCTGGTGCCGGCAGCAGGTGCAAGATGGGCCAGCATGCAGTGGGTGCAAGAGGCAGCTCCGGCAGCAGGTGTGAGTGGGGCCGTCACCAAGAGTGGGTGCGAGAGGCAACTGTCGGCCCCTATCGCCCCTCAGGAGCAGGGGGAGGAGGAGAAGTCCTGATGGGCGATTGGGGCTGTCAGCCACAGCTCACACCCGCTGACAGTGCCGAGTGATCGGACCTGGAGCTGGGCACCAGCAGCAGGTGCAAGCAGCGGCTCCAGCGCCGGCAGCTGGTGCGAGTGCCTGGCAGGACCGCAGCACATGGAGCAAAGAATTTTCAGTAACCACCAGAGGCTCGCCCCAATGACAGCAACTGGCACCCCGCCTTGGTCTGGCACCCCCACTCACCTGCTCCACCATCCCACCATGGCCGATGCCTGCCATGTTCCACAGTCTTCTGCCTGCTGCCAGTGCCTGCCAAGTTCCACACGCACCTCCTGGTGCACGTAATAGCAACCGGTTGTTTGATTGTTCGGTTGTTCCGCCGTTCGGTCTATTTGCATATTAGAGTTTTATTCATATTATAGTATAGTATAGTATAGTATTATATTATACTATAATATATTGATAGAATAAACATTAAGGCCCCTTAATTCTTAAGCCAATTACTTCATTTTGGATTCCAGCAAAGAAACAGCAAAATATTGCATCACAGGTAGACAGAAGCATTATTATGCTTCATATTTGCCTCTAGAGGAATCATAGCATTGCCTTTAAAAGCATGGACACTTGTGTTGTATTTCATAATGTCATCACTGGACTAAAACCTTGAAGCACATCAATCTCTAGTAACTTTGTAGAAAACAGTGAGCTCACAAAGTTGAGCACAAACACTCCAGAAGGATAGTAAAGAATAAATCCCAAACAACACAATGCAGTGTCAGATAAGCCAAAAGAAAACAGAGTTTCAAGAAAATAGAAATCGTTAATAATGTCAAGTTCTATTCTTGAAAGATACAATAAGATGAGGATTAAAATGTTCCTTGAGTATAATGACAGGAGACAATTGGTTTCTCTGGGGGGATGGGTAGAACTACCTGTGTTAAGGGGCAGGAAGGGAGGTAATGGAGATGGCAATATCTGTCTTTGAAGGACAGGAGAGAAGTTTCACTTATGTCTCCTGCTACATCTACACTATATGTGAGCAACATTTATAACTTTTATCTGTACAAGAAAGATGAATGTTTCATGGTAGCAGTTATCTTACTGTGACTTGACTTTTGAGGTCAATTAAAAGAGTCTCTTAAGAAGTCTCTGTATTTGATTCTGTAGCTAATTTTTTGTATATATATTTTTCAGGTATAGAGATCACAGATATCCCCCTAATCACGCAGAGAAATACTCTCATAATATGCAATTCTGGCACGTCCTTGCTGCCAAAATGACCTTCATCATAGTCATGGAGGTAAGCACTTCTTAGCATTCATTCCAGTTAGTCTTTCTGCTCCCTTTAGCCATATATGTCTAAAGAGATCTGCTTAGAAAAGAATTAGCATTATCTCAATAAATTGTTTTGATATGTTTGTTGTCACAGAAAGCAATGTAGGGATATTTTCGGTATAATGAGTGCCTGTTATTCACTTACTAGCTATCAAGGTGGCAGAAAAGAAAAAATATGGCTACATCCCTTGAGGGACAGGAAAAAGGCAGAGGACCCACTGATGTTACTGAATACCTTTACATATTGGTTGCAGAGGCTATAATAATAACCTTATAAGTTAGACTTTATTATTTGCCCTTGTAAAATGACTCTGAGACTTATCAAAAGAAGATATTTGGTTGAAAGATAATCAGCTAATATTAAACCTGGGTTTTGATGCCAGATGTCTCACTCCCAAGCCCTCTGCTCTGTCCACTATATTACGTTTCTCCCTTGTGGAACTTCCAGTATAATTTTAGATATAAGACATGCAATAAAAAAGAACAAATACAGAGGTGGTATGTGACTAAGACACAAATTGAGAGCTACAAATCCTAAGACAAGAAAGCCAATAAGGGAGAGACAAGTCAATGTAAGGCACTTTTTTTACTCTACAGTGAATCTCAATAATGGAAAAGTCTAATGCAAGCACACACAAAGTCTAATCAGTTTTTCTTTGTATACATGTAAGTAATTTTTAAAAATCAAATAATTTTGCACAATTAAGAAAAGAGAGCAGTCTTATGTAGCATTCCTCCACATGTTACCCCTCCCCCTTTCTCTCTTTATCTTTTCTTTATCACTCTTTCATTCCTACATTTTTCATCACCTTTCAGTCTGGTAAATTGCATTAGGAATCTTTTGATATTTTTGTTTTTGTTTATTCATTATTCTTACTAATTTTTACAATTATCACAGGCTCTGACTCATTGTCTTTTTGGGATTTCTCTTTACCTTCTCTTGTAATAATTACTATATTTTCTGCAATCCATGTTTCTCCCTTTTTTGGATTGATAGCTTATTTTAATGAAGTACATCTTTCAGTAATTTGCTGAGGAAAATTATGGGCCATCAATTTTTGAAAACTTGCATATTAAAAATATATTTTCTTTCATTATCGATGATTAATTGGTATGAAATTCAAGATTGAAAGTTATTTTCCCTAAAAAATGCTTAACTATCTTTACTTAGGTATCCTGAATTTTTCTTAAAGACATTGCTTTATTTTCTGTTAGTTTTTCCCTGGGTTGGAGCCAGTGTTGTTAGGAAATGCAAATGCAAAACCATTCTGATTCCCTAGTCTTTATAAATTTTTGTTTGTGTGTGTGTGGTTTTTTTTTTGTTAATCCTCAAGTCTAGGATATTTTTCCATTGATTTTTTTTTTTAGAGAGAGTGGAAGGGAGAGGGAGAGACAGAGAGAAACATTGATGTGAGAGAGACACATCGATTGGTTGCCTCCTGCCCACACCTCTACCCGGGCCAGGGAACCATTGCAAGTTTAAGTGTAAACTTTCTCTACTCTGGAGTCTGTTATTACTATTCCCTCCCTTCTTTTTGTCTTTGTTGGTTATATCTTTTAAATTTTATTTTCAAGTATTTTATTAGGTTTTTAGGAGGGAGCATAGAAAAAAGAGTATATTCAATGACATGTTCAACCTCAATTTCTGTATTACATATTTTAGAATGTATTTATTTGTTTAATATTGGTCTTTGTAGGAAAGTTCCAGACAGGGGCCATATCTTCTTTATTTTCCTGGTACTTCCTACATTGAGCACAGTTTATTGAATGAATGAAATTATTTGTAAGAGCTTCCTGCAGAACATTGGACAATTCTAACTGTTGGTTTTTTTTGTGTTTGTTTGTTTGTTTTTGTTTTGTTTTTAATGTTTTCTCCAGCATGTTGTGTTTTTAGTTAAATTTTTGTTGGCTTGGATGATCCCTGATGTTCCAAAAGATGTTCTGGAGAAAATTAAGCGAGAAAAGCTAATGACAGTCAAGATTCTCCATGACTTTGAGCTTAAGAAATTAAAAGAGAACTTGGCATTTGATTCTAGTGAACTTGCCAAGGAATTCATGATTCAGGAAAACAAAGTATAGCTGGATAAATCAACAATCAAGTCAACAAAATGAGTAAGCAGTTGGTAGCCTGACTGGCTTCACATTTTCCCTAGGTTAGGGCCAGAGGCCAGAAGCCATGTGTCAATTTTATCCCTTCTTTTTTAACTCAACGTTTTTGTACACTTTTATAGAGGCCAACTTTGTGAGGTCAGAAGAATACCTTCTCTGCTCCATTGGCTGGGCCCTCCCTAGATATTGTTTTCTGGGATTCTATAAATGATTGTTAAAAGTGCATGTGGAATCAGAATATGGAAAATCATGGAATGTTGCAGTTTATAATCCAACACTGGACTAGGGCTGTCCTGTCACCTTCCAGTGCATCTGCACATTTTCATGGTCTTCTACTGGGTTGTTTCATATCACTTTCCCATCAAGAAAAATGTTGGGACAAAGAGAAAAGAAGTGAAGGGGCTTAAAAAGCCATATTTAACCTGCCATTTTAGACTATGCAAATGAAAAACCAAACTCAGATGACATAAGAAGACCCACATATTAAGCATATTGGGTAAATATCATGGCGAGAGTATGTTTCTGAAGTTGTCCTGAATAAGTGAAACTTTCATAAGAATCCCAGGTGGTCCTTCAGGTAAATGCAAAATTGCTTTTTCAAGAGAATGAACATTTGGGTTTCAACAAAAGACTAACAATTCAGTTGTTTAAAGATAACGTTTTGGTAAAAATAGTTTGAAGACTGGATTGTTTTATCTGGAAAAGAGTATTAAGAAGTTATTAGATTGTTTCAGGTCTTTGAGTGAATGAAAGTCATTTTAAAGCAGTAATGTCTTTTCTTTGTAGTTAAGAAATTTAAGACAATGTATATTGATTAATTTATTGACCTTAATATAAAAATGTTGAATTATTTTAAAAAAATTATTTGTCTTCTACAATGCCTTTTTTCATCATGAAGCTTGTTTGAGCATTAGCTATTTGTATGTTAGGCACAAGTTGTTTATGAAATTTTGATTTTTTTGTTTAAAGTAATCTCAAATCTTTTAATGCATTTACAATCTTTTATATTGATTCATCCCTTTATACAATGTTCAGTGCCTTGCCCCTATGCCTTTGACACACAGTGGTATTGTTGGCTATTGATTTGATGTGATTTGACATCAATCACAGAGTTTAACACCAAAAATGGATCAACAAAATAAGAATAAGGTGGTAATTTGATAGCTAAATTTTTAAAAAAATTGAATTATTACTCTCATACTTAGGTCTGTGGCACATATACACTCATTCTTATTTCCCTTAAAAATAAATGTCATATATATATATATATGTATATATATATATATATGGCATATATATTTTTTAACCTTATAAGTTGAGAGATACCAGTCAACTTGAATCTCTAGTTTTAAATTACATTTAAGTTCCAAAGGAATAGTGTTTTTTAATTGCACACAAAAGAAGAAACGTTTTTGCAAAAAATTTCTAAGTGGTGTTTCATTATTTGATGCTAATATATTTTGTGGAATTGTCAGTATTAAGTATATGTCAGGTAGTATTAACCAATGATCAATATTAAGCATTTAGATCTGAGGATTATGAATTTTATAAAACTATGAGACAGTTATCCCAATATTGGCAGTAATAATTTGTCACCCACTAGGTAGATTTTTATGAATATTTTTGTGTAATTTGAAATTATCTCATTGTTGAAGCATGATTTCACATGTGGAGGAGATAAATTTCTTGCGTGAGAAATCCAGTCAGTGTTACTATGAAGTAAACCACAGATGCAGTATGTTTGACCTGTTAAATAAAACTGCATTACTACGGTGTTGTACATTGTGCACAGCTCATATTGTTCCTTCCTAGGTGTTAATAAAAATTAAAATATGGAAACTGGTTTCTTATGGTTTTAATTTTTGTGGCCTAACAATATTTATAGAGCTGGATTGTAAGAAAATAAAGACATATTTATCTCATAAAGTCGTCTGTACATTGCCATCCTAAACCAACTCAACTGTTAGATTCCTAGGCTGTATGGAAGACAAGAGAAGAAATAGTAAATATTAGTCTTTATGATTCGTTGGTATTTTTCTTTTAAAATATCTATAATAATAAAAGCTTAATATGCTAATTAGACCAGATGTCCCTCCGAACGACCTTCTGGATGAAGCCAGGACTGTGAGGGAAGCCCAGGTCCCAGGTGCCTGCCGGCAGCCAGAGGGAAACCTGGGTCCCGGGTGCCAGAGGGAAGCTGGTGCCGGCAGCCAGGGGAAGGATGGCCTACTCTTGCACGAATTTCATGCATCAGGCCTCTAGTTGATAAATACTTTGTTTCATGTTTCAGTCTTCTACAGAGTTTCTCCTAGTTTTACAGATTTTAAAATGAAATATAAGTATATCCATCACTTTCATAAAAGTTCTCTAGTCCAAGTCCAAAGCCAAATCCATTCAGATAGATTTGTCTTATCTTATGGGAGGGATGAATTAATAGCACATGGCTGTCAAATGTAAGTTGATTTTGATCAGCATGGCCAATGTGTTTATCATCCAATCAAACCCACAGTCTAAAAACATTTCTTTTTTAGAAATGTTACAGGAAACATTTGAGATTTTATTTGAAATAATTTTAAATGCAAATGCTGAAAAATACATAACTCTTTTCAAATGCCATCTCTAATCCTTGCCTTCATCGGGTTTTCTTTGAACATAAGAAGCAGAATCCACTTCAAAACATTTATTTTAGAGTAATCCATCAAGAATGGAGTATCTTAATTAAATGGAATACTCTCTTATTTTTGCTGTATCTCATGACTCCTCCTGGATTTAATATTCTCCTTTTATCTAAGCCATTAAGCAAGTTATCAAGGAGAAGAAGGAAAGAAGATGATAAAGAGGAGAGGGACCTAGGAAGAAGAAGATAAAGGACTTCTCTCCTTATGAAACTGCATGTTTCCATGGGGAGAGAGTTGTTTGTGTAAGGTATCATGGTGCCGCTATTGGGGTGGGGCGCTAAAAGCAAGGTCTCTTTCCTTAGCCATCTAATGAGGATGAGAGAAAAACCAAAGAAATTTCAAGTTGAAAACTATTATGTGTCAAAAGTAAAACTGATTCCAAGTGATTTTGTGGTGTCATGTTACGTGGAGCCCTGGATCTCTGTTGATGGACCCCAGTTGAAGGTGAGGAATTTGTATTGCTCATTCAAAAGGTGAATTTATTGTTTTGAAAGAACCTCTCTACTACTTGTTTTTAATTTGTAATAGTTTTTTATCAATTACTGTTTTAAGAAAAATAATGTTGCAAGAAGTACCATTGGCCAGGCTTATAAGTCTGCTGCCATGATTCACTGTAATTATTCTGTTACTTTTTTCTAAACAACTTATTACTCTTTTCCTTTATGTGTAACAATTTAAGTATGTCATTTATTCCAGCATTATGTAAAAATTCATGATAATATATATATTTTTAAAAGATAGCATCTTTCAGTGTGTGTGAGATACCTGCTTTCATCACCCCCAAATATTTGACTAGGTATGTCTTTTCTGTGAGTGAATATATGCCATGCAGTTGACAAAAAAAAAAAATCTGTTTTTTTTTCTTTCTTCCAATTTGTACGTATGTGCATACCGTGGGAAGAAGTGGTTATGCAGGTATGCAGGGAAAATTTCTATTAAGTAAGAAATCCTAAGAGATTCATATTCACTCAGTGAATAAAGTAATTCTTATTTTTAAACTACATTTTGACATGAACTCAATTTGTTCTTACAGAAAAACTAGAGGCCTGGTGCATGAAATTCATGCAGGGGGTGGGGGGAAGGGGGCCCCTCAGTCTGGCCTGCACCCTCTCCAATCTGGGACCCCTCTCTCATTAACTCGGAAAAGCACGTCCTGTCACCCTCTGACCAGCAAGAGTGCGCTAGGCCCCAAGAGAGCGAGGCTCAGTCAGGGCAGCCTTCACTCATGGGTGCCAGCACCCAAAGTGCACATTCCTCCTCTGCAGTCACCCCGACTATCCCACCATTTCACTGAGAGGAACTTCTCACCTCCTCTGGGTTCCTGATCTTGAACGCTGACCGAAGGCACCTCAGCGAGGGCTGCCCGCGCCCACCAGCTGTGTCTGTCTGCACCTGCTCCTGCCTCAGCACCTGCATTAACCCCCCAGAGGTGATCTCTTCACTGCACTGACCTCTGCAGGAATAGGGCATCACCAGTTGGCCCTCATTGTCATCTCACCGGCGCCCACCCTCAGCACCCGGAACACCCCGACACTCTCCAAAGGACGTGAGCATGCCAGAGGGGACATGCTGGGGTTGATGGAAGTGCGGCAGAGGAGTGGGGAAAACTTGCACATGCCTTTGTCCAGGACTTTTGCAGGCATGCAAGGGTCACAGCGCGCTGAGGGATGTTCTCACGCCAGGGGGCGAGAAGAGGATGTGTGCACCGGAGGCCTGTGGCTTTGCAGATCTGCAAACCCCCATGGCGTGGCCAGGAGGATGTCAATCTGGCTCGCCACGGTGACTGTCCCTGTGATCATGCACCTTCTGGGCCAGGAGGTGGGACTGGCACAGCCACTCGGCACTGATGGCCTGCAGGCGCTACTTCAGCTCAGCCAGCAGGCTCCGCTTGGCATGCTCACGGCTGCCACCGCCACCATGTGGGGAGTACAGGCCGCCCTCTGCTAGTCCGCCTCCCCTGTCCAGAGGCTCTCTGCGTGTGCTGCCCAAAGGCCCCGAGTGGCTTGGGGGGGATGTGACGCCAGCAAGTGCTGCTCACCTGCCCAAAGTGACCAGGGCAAGGTGGAAGCCAGGCGTCCTGCCCTGCCCCACCCCGGCTGGGCCATGTCTTCGCACACTGCCTACTGTCTCAGAGCAGCCAGGACAAGGTGGGACACCTGCCACCAGCCTCTTGGCGCCTGTGCACGTGGCACTGACCACAGGCCTGCCATCTTTATCTGGTTAATTTGCATACTAACTCCTAATTGGCTGGTGAGTGTAGCAGAGGGATGGTCAATTTGCATGTTTCTCTTTTATTATATAGGATGTTGATATAATTTTTCTGAATTGGAATGTTTTAAGAGGGTTTTAAGTCATTAGAAACATTAAAATGCATTACATGCAACATGTTTAATTCACAGAATTACGTTTGTTACATTTAGAATTGCAAATTATTGAGATAGAGGTTGGAAGGCACAAAAAAAATGGAGATGGTAGTAGTTTTGTTTTGCCTCTTTATTTTTTCTGTTTTGTGGTGTGATATATAGGTGAATAGAAAGGTCCAAGGACATAAATAGCAAGTTAATATATTTTCTGAATTTTCTTCCATTCCTGTCTTTCCCCAGAAGAAATCCATAATAACCTTCATTGGACTTCTCTGGGCTACTTGTGAGAAATGCATATCCCTTGGTCCTACCCTAGGTCTTTAAAAGCAGAAGAAACCTTTGGGAGAGGAGCCTTAAAACAGTCTTCAAGGTTACAGAATATCTGAAGAATGTTATGCTGACATAGTGTTATAGTTTGCTAGTATCTTTTAAAAAACAAAGTTTTTATTGATTTTTTAGAGAGAGAATAAGTAAGAGTGAGAGAAAGATAGAAATATCAATGAGAGAAAAATCATTGATGGCCTGGTTCCTGCATGCCCCACACCAGGGATTGAGCCTGCAACCCGGCATGTGCCCTGGCTGGGAATTGAATCAGTGACCTCTTGGTACACAAGAGGTTGATGCTCAACCACTGAGTCACACCAGCTGGGAAACTAGTATGTACGTATGTATGTATGTATGTATTTATTTATTTTAAATATATATTTTTAATTTCAGAGCAGAAGGGAGAGAGAGATAGAAACATCAGTGATGAGAAAGAATCATTGATCGATTGCCTCCTGCATGCCCAACAATGGGGATGGAGTCTGCAACCTGGGCCCGTGCCCTGACTGGGAATCGAACCATGACTTCCTGGTTCATAGATCAAAACTCAACCATTGAGCCATGACAGGTGGGCTAGTATCTTTTTAAAAAATTGAATGTATTATGATGCTATTGGTTCACAAAACCATATTCTTTAATACATAGGGTGAGTGTGTGAGCCATTTGTCATAAAAATATACCTTTAGACCCTTAAAAAAATGTGCAGGGTTACCTTTTGGGGGGTATAAGACTGATGAAAATTTCATAAAAATACCAAATTCTCTAGCCTCAAGTATTTTTTAAAAACGTCAAACATTTCATTTACCACTCCAACCATGAGGGAAGTATGCCAAGTCATGGAGACTCAGGATTTTCAAATTTGTAGAAGTCCTCTAATCCTGTGCAG